GCACCATGCCGTCCGACGGTCGCCATGGTCCTCGCCGTGCGGCGGGCGAGGACCTCGAGTACGAGAAGCTCGTCGAGCCGATCGACGAGGGGGAGTTCTGGCAGGGCCCCCTGATCGTGTGCTGGGGGGCCGAAGAGCTCTATGCCACGACAAGCCGTACGGGTGCCGTTCGTAGCTCGCCATAAATAAGGATTCGTGTGGGGTTGGGTGTGTGCATGCAGCAATCATTATCTAAGGCCAGAAGGGGCACTCGTGCATGCCGCCTTTCCTGAAGCGTCGTTGGTACGATGCGAAGGCCACTCAGGTCCAAGTGGACGTTCGAGGGGTCTGGCCGTCCGATCAGGCCGCTCGGTCGGCCGGGCCTCCCGGCAACTTGGTTAAAAACTTAGGAGTTGGTCGAGGGTGCATTCTGAGCCGAGCGATTCAACATGCATGCTGAGGTAATCCGTTGTGCGTCTATGCCTCTTGGAAGGGGGCGGCCGATCAGCCGGAGTTCCCCACGGCGTTCGTCATGGTCTACTTCCTGCTGCAGGCCCTTGTGCCTCTCGAGGGTCGTTCGGTGCTGCAGGTCGTTTGTAGCCCGGATGCATAAAAAAAGGGCCTGCATGAAGCGATAGTTGAGGTCAGTCTGTACTTCATTAATAAACTGCAACCAAGGCTCCCATGGTCGCAATCGCTCGGCGTGCATCGGGGTCGCTCTGAGTGCCATCCTGAACCTCCCGATCTGGTTGCCGACGTTCGGGGATGCCCATTCGGAATGGTGGGCGATCGCCCGCCTTCCGGACGAGGACATCGCCTACTTGAAGGAGTTGGTCGCTCGCCGGCCCGGGGGAATCCCGGCTCCAAGGACTCCTCCTGGCCCACCGCCCGGTGGACCTGGTGTGACCTATAAGGGGACGTTCGACGAGAACGACCTCGCCGGGAGCATGCCGTCGCTCGGGCATCCGATGCGTGATGCCGCCCCTTGGCTGGAATGATTTCATGTTGCCATTCGGCTTTGATTTTGACCTTGACTTGCCAGGTTCGCTTGGAGATCTGGCGGGTCGCTCCGGCCGTCCTGCTGGAGCTCGACGACCTTCGCTTGGA